CGTCTATTACAGAGGAGATTTTAATTGTGCTGCTAAACAATTTGCAGAGCCATTCGCTGGTACCGCACATGCCGTGCATTAGAGTGTGGCAGGTGCGTTGCATTGCCATTCATTGAAATGGCACCCCAAGCACATCTCCAGGTTGCAATGTGATCGATCGAGCACATGGTGCTGCAATACCGTGCATTGTGGTTGAAAAAAGTATTGCATGCAACGCACCTGACGCACTGTAACACACGGTATGGGCCTTGTGCAGTACCGTGCGTTAGTCACACAAAACCTTGTGATTAATGCACGACATTGGTGTGAACAGGCCCTGATTGAAGCTCAATTTTCCCTACATAGTATGTGGCACATACCCTCTTTTCTTTTTTATTGATAGGCCAGAGGAGGGAGCCGGGACGTGGAGCTGCCACTTCTTCTGTCCGCCTGTAATGCTGGCGGCAGGAACAAATTTGGCGTCAGTAGTTGCTAGGACCGCCCGGCAATTATTCATAATAATAATGTATTATATTAATATCAATATATTACAATCTGCAATCCCTTATAGTCTTTGTTCAGCCACTTCCTGTTATAGGGTGACAACGTCCTGTCCCCGCCTCCCGGTTGTGCTCCTGTGTTGTCACCCTGTCACAGATGGAGACTACAAGTGGCTGTTTCAACACGCACTACACAGACATGGCTCTCTGTTGTCATCCTCAGCAAACCCGCCCCGAGAAATGCCATACAGCCATCACTGGAGTGCATGCAGACAGGAAGAGGCTGCAAAGTGGCTGCAGGAGATCAGCAGCACTGAGATGCAACAAAGGGAGAAATTACAGTAAAACTAGTATTTTTTTAAATAAAAATGTGCCAACTGTTTATGATACGCAGGGCTTTATCAAATAAATTGTCATTCCGCTCCGTATGTACATGCACTTTAAGGGGCCCGTTCTGTTCACATATTTCAATTTTTTTGTTTTGGTTTTTTTTTACGTGGAAAAAAAGAGTCAAACATTATTTTGGATGAAATATTTATATTTACAACTATCATGTCACAAAAATATAAGGTATGTCTATATCAACATCGTGTCTTATTACACATATACAAAAATAGGTTCACAGTATATATTATGCAATATAGTCTCCATATGAGTCCAGGACTCCGCCCCCAGGAAAAGTGCCACGATGAAACGACCAATCAAAAATCATCTCTGGGGAGCCTGCCACCTGGTTGCCATGGGTTACTCTGCACGCTCTCATCACCCTCTCATGACCCTCTGCACCAGTAGCCCTGGCAACAGCGCCGGTCCACAAATGTATTTTTATTCCGTTACATTCTTTCCTTTTTATCTTCTTCGGATCTTACCGCTAAATGTGACTCGGGCTTCTTACATTTTGGATTTGTGCTGTTATTTGAAGTGGACCTGTCATCAATGTTTAAAGCTCAACTGATATACTTATAAAATGCCTTTCCAAATGCAGATATCACCTTGTAAAAGTATCAGTGACATCATCACTGTGCTGTACATGGCCTGTGCA